CCCCTCAGCAAAGTGTGCACTGCAAAGTGTGTGTAAGAAGATTGTATATAGCAGTGATTCCACAAACGGTGCCCTTTTGGACTTCAGCTCCCAGAAGCCTCAGCCATGTTGGTCAATAGTCTGGTATTCTGGAAGCTGAAGTCCAAAATCCCTTAAAGGACCCAGTTTGAGGACCATTGGTATATAGGATAGGATGTTTATGATACATACAGGCAACTCTCCTAGTTAATCATGATTCCTTGGCTGACCAGTCAACCTACTTATTCCACACGTAAAACATCTGTATGAGTTACAGTAAGATAATTGGGCTAACATATAAGGTGTTGACATCTTAAATAATCTCACAGCTGCTAAATGATACTAATCTGTTACTGAATAATACAAGTTTATCAGGGAAACAGTGAAGTTAGGTCCCTTTGTCCTGACATGCTAGTGTACAGGCCATTTCCACCCCTACCCCCCACGGCTCAGGCTTACACACTACACAGTTATAGCACTATGATTCCACTTTAACTGCCATGACAACACTCTATGGAATCCTGGGATTTACAGTTTAGTGAAGGGCATTTAGAAACCTCAGTCAGTGCTCTAGTGCCTCTGGCCAAACTACAAATCCAAGGCTTCCATAGAATGCAGCCATGGCAGTTAAAGTGGAATCACAGTGCTATGATGGTGTAGTATGAAAAAGCTCCTAATGAAATTACCAAAACTTGGAAAAATAACTTTTTTGGACCACAGTTCCCACAGGAACTGGCTAGGGCATTTTTGGGACTGTAATCTGATGTAACTTTTTCAAGTTCTGGAAATGATCAATGAGAGCAAAACTAGTTGATCATCAGATTCCTTCTCTTGAGTTTTAAATTAGATGTCCACAAATGTTTCCTGATCCAGTGCCAAGCTTTTTGAACAATTGCTCTCTCCAAGCCTTAGTGCATCTTTCTCTAGGTAGGATCTCTGAAATCCTGGTATGCTGAAGCACAACACCCATTATCCCCAACAAATATAATCAGTGGTCAGGGACAACTGGAGCTGCTGTAGAAACAATCTGCCTTGAATCCCATCTCAGGAGAAAGGCCTGATATAATTCTAGTAAATAAACAAATAAATAAAAGAATTTGGATTGGTAAAGATTTCTTTGCTGCTTGGTTGCTTGCTTGGTACTGTGGGTTTCTAAGCTTTCTCTGCCCTCATTTGCTGTTTTGTGTGGGGTGTTTTTTAAGTCTGAAGAGGGCCTTTGTTATTTTTAATCTCTGCAGCATGCCCTGCTAAAGTAAGGAGAGGTCATAGAAAACCCAGGAGGCCATTATAGCTCACACAGGAACTTCTTGCCAGGGTCCAATCATGGTATCTAATATTCATTGGGATGCCAGGTTCAAAGCTAGTCCTTTATATCTATAATAGCTGTATAAAAGAGCACATGTCACAAAGTGTTGCTTGTTCCACAAGCTCCAGTCACTGCCATGCCCTCTTCTACAAAGCCATAAAACGTATAGGAGCCCTGCTCCTTATTTCACCTGGCCACTCCATATAGTAAAGAACCTTGCCACCTTTTAAAATACCTTAGGCTGAATCTGCACTGCAGAAATAATTCAGTTTGACACCGCTTTAACTGCCATGGTTCCATCCTATAGAATTCTGGGATTTTGGTAGTTTGCTGTGGCACCAGAGCCATATGACAGAGAAAGCTAAATATCTCACAAAACTACAAATCCCAGAATTCCATAGTACTCAGCCACGGCATTTAAAATAGTGTCAAACTGTGCTATTTCTGCAGTGCAGATGCAGCCACAGTTGCTTTGTTAATATCTTTAAAGAGCACTTTAAATTGATTCTTTTCGCCATTACTCCAAGCTGTGCAAGGCACAACAGGGGTTCTGTCAGACTTTGCCCCTTATGTATCTCAACTAAACAGAATTGAGGAAATGAGTATGGTTATCAGATTGGATCTAGGAAATGGCCGCTGTAACTTTAATCCATAATGGAGGAGGACAAGGCACTATAAAGCCTTATCAAACAGAATGAAAATCCCAGTCCTCTATCACCTTTCAAACCCCAACTTCCAGCTGTACCCTCCCAACATGGCTATTGCTGGAGTGTGTGTGTATATATGTGTGTGTGTGTGTGTGTCCATGCATGCATTTGTTCTTTTTGTTGGATATATAGCCAAATTGGGAGGGCACCATTCCAACTGAAAGGGGAGAGAGGACATGTATGCTTGTCCCATTTCACTGAACTTTATGGTATCTTACATTGCTCCACAATCTAGTGTGGCAACTCTTGAAGAAATATGACTGGCCTCTGTTGCTATTTGGAAGGGTGCAAAGGATTCAAGAGTTCTTTGCCACTGGCTTGAAGCCTATGGCTAAAGTGCTTATTGAAAAGCTTTGCAGGGATCATTCAGGAGATGCTGGATGGAATGAGTTGGGGAGTACTTTACTTATGCTTTTATCTGTACACGGATGAGTCACTGGGTAGGATCAAGGCCCTTCTTCACTTTCAATAACAGCCCCTGTTAAACTCTGGGAGTGAGAGAAAATCTCCCTGAGAGAAAGTTTCGGGGTAAAAATCTGGGCTTTAGTTTGATTAGGACTTCAAAAGACTCTTACCCCACTTGTGCCACCCATCCCTGGAGCATTCCTGCCCTGGTATTGTAAATGGTTCCCATGCCTTCTACATCAGGTTTAAGAAACATTCCCCAGCCCTGATCAACAGCGAGACAGGTTCCCCAGCCATGAAACATTCAAAGGGAGGAATTCCAGGTCAGAGGATGAGCTTTCCAGGGAGGCTCACATCTTGAAATCAGACGTGCAGTTAGATGTGTAGAGAGTGGTGCTGCCAGAGAGTCGTTGCTGATCTTAATGCATCTCCTTCTCTCATGCCAGACACGGAGGCAGTGAAGCAGGCAGCTCTGGAAATGGAGGAGCAAGAGCTGGTGAGCCTGAGGACTGAAGCTTTCACCACTGCCCGGAGTCTGCTGACTGCAGCAGCAGATGCAACAGAGAGGGTCATCTCTTCTTACAAAGAGGTACAAATGCAACTAGGCCAGTCTTTCCCCCAATCAGGCACTCTCCAAATATACTGGACAACAGATCCCATCCTCTCCAACCAGCACAGCCAATGGTTGTCCTGGTTGATGGTGAAGGGAGTTGTAGTCCAGCTAAGTAAGCACTTGGGCTGACATGTTAGGAGAGGGATCATTCTGTTTCTCAGAAGAAGAGAATGAGCGACAACATCATTTTACTCCTGAGAAATGTATTTAAATGTCATTTAGGCAGTACTTTGCAGAACATGGCTTACACCAAGGTAGATCAAGGTTTCAGTCTTGGTCAGTCTAGTAGCAAAGCATCCTGGAATCCAGTAAAAAAAAAAAAACCTGAACCTTCTTTGTATGTGTTTTTGGAATGCCTAAACCAGGGGTAGTCAACCTTTTCCCTTTTAAGGGCTGAGGGATTTCAGCTCCCAGAATCCCAGGAGCTATTGGCCAACATGGGACTATTGGCCAACATGGCTGAGGCTTCTGGGAGCTGAAGTCCCTCGGCCCTTAAAGGCGAAAGGTTGCCTACCCCTGACCTAAACTAATAGGACACTAGGACACTGAGAGACCATGGTTTGACCTCACCTGGCCATGGAAACCCATTGAGTGAGTGTGGGCAGGTCACACTCTCAGCCTCAGAGAAGGGCAATGGCAAACCTCCTCTGAAGAAATCTTTGCCCTAAAAAAACCATGATAAGTTCATCTTAGGGTCATCATAAATCAAGAATGACTTGAAGACACACAACAACAACAAGACTACTAGTACTCTCCAAATGATGCCATTTGTGTGTCATAGCCACAAGTAAGTGTGTGGCTGTCCATAGAAGCTTTTACTTTATGCTAAGTTTATGCTAAGCTTGCATCCTCCAGCTGCAACACCAAGCTTTTTCAGCCAACATGGCCACTGGTTTCTGGTGAGTAGCTCTGCTTTTGGAATCTTCTGTCTCTGAAGAAGCTTCAAACCTCATTTCAGGGAAGGGTATGGATTCAGTTGTGAAGCAGATGTGTTAGCATGTAGGGGGACTCCAGGTTCACTCTCTTAGACCTCTAACTAAAAGGCTGAGGTGGTCAGAAAGACTGAGAGTTGAGAACCTTGATAACTGCTACCAGTTAGAGCTCACAGTGCTGGGATAGGAAGATTTACATTATTACCTGCTATAAGGCAGCTTCCCATGTCCACATATTCATCTATAGATCTGTAGGAGGAACAGGCAACTTCAAAGGGGTGCAGAGTCAGGGTGAATCCCATCCTACCTGCTGGGTACTGCTGGGTCGAGTTCCTGTTGCACCACTTCTACATTTTTGTGGTCTGCACAGCAGTTGAAAAACACAACTAAAAACCAGTTGAACAATAAAACCCTAAAAATAATTGAACTCATCATAGTGACTAGGAATTGCATTCACAGCAATTCTGGGGCTTTTGAATTCTGAATGTAAACCTAATGATACCTTTTGACTGTCTCTTGCAGACAGAAACTTGTTTGTGTCCAGACAGGTTTCCAGTAGCATGAGAACTAGCAAAATGCTTTAAAGAATGTAATTGGACTATCTCTATATTCTCTGCTAGTTGTCAGGTTCTGGACTAAGTATTACATTGCATGTGTGAAAACTACACATAAATATTCCCCTCTGAGGCAAATGCTAGATTAGACAGTCTCTGAGTTTTCTTTTCAGCAGCAAGATGTTATGCTTGTTCCTTCTTCTATTAGGTGACTGAACTGGCTGGCTATACTGCCCGGGTATATGAGATGTTCCAAGTATTTGAGGATGTGCAGCGCTGTAACTTCCGGCGTCCTGGAGAGCTTGAGGAGACTCAGCCTCGTACAGGGGCAGCGAGGCAGCATGGCGTGCGAGTAGAAGGGCCTCTCCAGATACAAGGTAAGGCATTCCAACTCTCAAGTGAATTTGGCTGATTTGTACTGTCCCTCTTGCTGCTGGCTTGATAGCTGCTAGATGAGTCTTGAGAGCAAGCGTGGTGAAGTGGTTTGAGCATTGGAGTACAACTCAAGATCAGGGTTCAATTCCCTGCTCGAGCATAAAAACCCACTGGGTGACCTTGGGCAAGTCACACTCTCTCAGCCTCAAAGGATGCCAATGGCAAACCCATTCTGAAGAAACTTGCCAAGAAAACCCTATGATAGGTTCACCTTAGGGTCGTTATATGTCAAAAATGACTTAGAGGCACACAACAACAAAACCCAACAAGATGAATCCTGCTAGTGATTTCCCACAGTGAGTGTCAGATTCTTTACCTTGCAAGGATCAAACCAAGGCTGCAATCTTCTGCACATCTACTTGAATGTAAAACCTATTAAACCCAGTGGGATCTGGGCCAACGTTTATAGGATCTAGTTATCAAAGTCCAGAAATACCTGCATGTTAAACAGGAGAATCTTCATAAATTGGGCCTAGCTTTTAACTAGCCCACATTAGCTAAAATCCCTGACCAGTTCAGCCCCCCACCCCAGTCCTGGATATCCCATTAGAGACTTGAACTAAGAAGAGGCAGGCTAGCAATTGCTTTCAAGTCTAACAGGCACTTTCTTACTATTGGTTACAGCACTTGGATACAGTTAATGAACTTCTGTAAGACAAGGATAAACTAACCCACAAAAAGAACCTCAAACCACTTTTGATAACTTGACAATGATCTCTGTTACCCATATCTAGCTAGGTAGCAGCTTGGTTTTGTGGCAGAAAGTTCCTTTCAGTCTTTTGGTTTCTACTGCTCTGTGTCCACTCTTATTCTTCTTTCCAATGTTGTCTCTTTCCTTTCTTCCTCTTTCATTCTATCACTCTTTGTATCTCCAGCCTCATCTTTTCCTACTATCCCAAGGCAATGTTTTCTCCTTCTGTCTCTTCCCTCACATTCTATACCCCTTCCATTGCCCACCCAACAGTCCTATTATGGAAGTCGGCAGTATGTGTGCTCCTTGGTCTCTGTCACCAGTTGTTTCCTTGGCTTCTAGACTATAGAGTTCTAATCAAGGATCTGTGTCTGTGTTTGTTTGTTTGTGTGTGGGGGGGTATGGATGAGAGAGGCAGAGAGAGAATTAGATTTATATCCTCCCTTTTCACCAATTAAAAAAATGGAGGATAGGTGATGATGCAAGAACTGGTAAGGTTCAGTAAGGCCAACATTGTCTGTTGTGTGACTATGAATTTAAAAAAATGTATTTAAAACATAACCTCTTGGAAGGGATAGCTGTATTCTTTCCTCACTCCTCAGGCAAATAGCATGAGAGTCTGGCCTTCTCTTATATTTGACAACACTTGTTCAGCCAGGTCATGTTTCACATAATCAGTTCAGACATCATATCAAGCCATGGTTAAGCTTCTTTGTCTGTGGTTTGACAGGATGTCTGAGTTGACACTTAGGGAGAAAAAGTGAGGTGTGTTGCCCCTTTCTGGCTGTGTGTTTGTGTGTGCGTGTGCGTGTGTGCACACATATTGCCATGCAAGGAATGGAGCATTGGAGCAATGCCTTTCATCTTAGATTTGATGCCCAGTCTTTTCATCCCTACCTCTCATCCTACACACCCCACCCTTTTCTGCTGACAGGACGTGTGATTGATGTTGATAATGGCATTATCTGTGAGAACATCCCCATCATCACTCCCACAGGAGACGTGGTGGTCGCTAGCCTCAATATCCGAGTAAGTAGTCAGGATGTGGTAAATGGGGAGTGGGTGGATGTCAAGAAGATCTTGACTGGAGTAACAACATTTAAGCTCTTCCAAAAACAAGTAGTACAGAGGCACATACTACTTGGAAGTTACACCCTCTAACCAGAAAAGCACATATCTGTTGCTTCAAAAATGTAGGTCATGGGTTCAGGTTACTCCTGTTGGGTAAGATGGCCTGCTTTTGAACCTATAGAGCTGTGCCTTTAACCAGACATGCTGTCCAGGAGTGAACAAAAGATAATACTGATAATCACATTGTGACTAATTTCCCCTTCAGATTTCTGCTGGTGAAGTTGCTGTGAAATATTAAGCCTGTTTCTCCCCTTCACCATTCCCCCCCCCCCCCATCAATTGACATTCTTGTTGGCAAAGTGTGTGCATATTACACAGTGCATGTTACTTCCTATATCCTGAGACAGAGTGCTGACACTAAGGGGAAAAAGAGGTTCTAGTACAGAGTTATGATGGGTCCTTTTTCAGACTCATTGTGGTAAAAAGGGAAAGAAGGAAGGAAGGTGTGTACTGGTGTTCAGATTGCTGACATTTTGCAGGCTACTATTCAGAGTACAGGAGATGTGTAAGAGCAGAGCTGGGGGATGGCACTGAGAGTTCCTGCTGACTTTGCCTCTTGCAAGGTCAGGTAGGTGGGGTAAAGGTGTAGGGGGTTGTGATAAGGCTTTGATTGCTGCCTTCTGGCCATTATCTTTTTGTGAGTATGTCGAAAAAGCTGGAAAGAAACCAGGAGTGCAGGATTGGATTGGGAAGAATGATAGTGAGCTGACGTGGCTCAGACATTGCTGTCAGGGCCCCAAAGGGCACATTGCCTCAGTTGGCATGCTACCTACAGGGGCTGGAAGGTCATGGAGAGACACTCCTCTCTGCATATTCTTGGGTTGAAAAGGAGGGCATTGATTATAAAGACAAGGGAGGAATCTGTCCTTTCTAACCCTCTCTGCTGCCCCCTTGCAGGTGGAAGAGGGCATGCACCTCTTGATCACAGGCCCAAATGGCTGCGGCAAAAGCTCACTATTCCGGATTTTGGGGGGACTCTGGCCAACATATGATGGCATCCTCTATAAACCACCACCTCATCGTATGTTTTACATTCCGCAGAGGTACAGTGAGACAGTATTCAACTTTTGAAGTTACAGCTCCCCAAATCCCACAGCTGGAGGTCATCCTGGTTGGGGGATTCTCAGAGTTGTAGTCCAAAAAAGTTACTTTTCCATCTGCATTCTGTCTAAATGCAGATTTCATACTACCGGCCTTCTTTAAAGGATGGTGGGAAACAGTACTGAGAGAAGGTACATGGGGAAAATGTTTTGGATCCTCTCAAATGAAGTCTGAGTATGATTTGTCTGTTTGCTCTTCCAACTCCAGGCCGTACATGTCTGTGGGAACCCTGCGGGATCAGGTGATCTACCCAGACACAGCACAGGACATGGCACAGAAAGGAAAGACAGATGCTGATCTGGAGCAGATCCTGGACATTGTCAATCTCAACTACATTGTGCAGCGTGAGGGAGGTGGGTGCCATGGGTGGGGTGAGCAGTGGAGGTGTTGAATTGATGGAGAACAGCTGGAGACAAGAATCATCTCATGTTGCCCCCCACTTGTCTCTCTGGCCATATGAAACAGGAGTGAGGGGACAAAAAGAGGGTGTGAGAGTGTATGACAATTTTCCTAATTGAGTGACCAATGAAACATTCTGTTTTTCTCTTTGTGGGCGGGCCAGGCTGGGAAGCAGTCAGCGACTGGAAGGATGTACTTTCAGGTGGTGAGAAGCAGCGAATGGGGATGGCCCGCATGTTCTACCACCGGTAAGTAGCACAACCAATGAGGAGTATGGTTATCCTTTTCCTATAATTCTCTGGTACATTTGTATCTCTTCCTGCTAACTCATCTATAAATTGTGTGTTGAGTATGATCATTTTCTTTCCGTCATTCTCCTCTAGTACCGTTGTTCCTCTTTTTACCAGTTCAGCCATGAATTACTTGGAATGGGGAGATATTTTGGGGGTCAGTTTATTCTTCACTTCTGTCCGCTCCTATTAGAAAGATGGCAGAATTAAGGACTAGTCTACACATAAGTGTATTGTGCGAATTCCTGCAGATATTCGCATATTTGCATTGACAGTTAATTGTCTTCATTATTCTGCACAAAGTCACTTGTATTCATATCTATTCACCCTTCCTCTGCCAAAAACGTGCACCCACTCTTGAGAATCACAATTGTCAGTCTCGCAGTCTATTTGACTGGAATAAGGAGTATATCGTGTAGACTAGCCCCAAGCCAGGCAAGAGCAAAGTATAACCAGGAAAACCAAAAAAAGTTGTGGATGGAGAAAATGTGGGATCACAGACAAAAGGTAGAAGAGATGCAGACTGGTTCAGGAGTGGTAAACAGTAGGAAGTGAGAAAATGCAATGAAAGAGAGGGAAGATAGTCTGCTGTGTTTGTAGAATGGGCCAAGCCATTTTATAACTTTAATTTGAGCCTTTGTTCATCTCCCAAGGCCAAAGTACGCTCTCCTGGATGAATGCACCAGTGCCGTCAGCATTGATGTAGAAGGCAAGATCTTCCAGGCAGCAAAGGATGCTGGAATAGCACTGCTCTCCATCACCCACCGACCTTCACTATGGTATGTCTTGTGTTCTCCCAGCAGACTTAAGGTTGGCATGCTTTGCTTCTTTTGACCTTCCTTCCTAGTCCACTGTCTCTTGTTCGCTGTTTTTAAAAACCAAATATCCCAGCTTTACATGGCTGCTCTTAGTGTTACTAATCAAATCTTCAGCTCATTGAACCACAGTAATTCTGCAACGGTGGGTGCCCTCCTGCTTCCACCCCTGAAGCCTGCCCAAAGACTAAAAGCCTTTGCAGAATGCTAGAAATAGTGCAAATTGAGTCCACTTTAACAGACCTGGCTCAGTGCTAGGGAATCATGGGAATTGTATTTTTTTTCTGAGACATTGAGCCTTCTCTGTCACAGAGCTCTGGTGCCACAATAAACTACAGTTCCCATGATTCCCTAGCACTCAGTCAGGGCAGTTAAAGTGGACTCAATTTGCACTATTTCTGGCAGTCTGCAAAAGCCCTAACTCTCCTACAACACTGTGTTCCTCAAGGCTAGTTGGAATCTTGGTGGGTGCTGTGGATACAGTCTTAGTCCATGTTTTACCTCTCTTGCTGAGCTAACCCCTTGTGGGATCAGTTACTCCCAGGATAGCAATAGCAATAGCATTTACATTTCTGTATGACTTAATAGTGAACTCAGTATTCTCTAAGTGGTTTACAATCTGTAAGCCAGTTGCCCCCAGCAAGCTGAGTACTCATTTTACCAGTTTACGAAA